TAATAGATTCTTTCACTTATACAAAATTGTGTTTGCTTTTTATCTGGGTAAGATTCTGAAATAGATTATTAGATAATTTGTGAGCTCCCAGACAAGGAAGAGGTGATTACCAGTAACTGAGAGCAGTTTTTTTCCTTTCTACTTTATTTTCCAGTAGATTATTGCAGCAGGGAAATGCAGTCAACATTTAGTCTCTGCTGAAGCAGCTGATTTGTGTACTACTTGTAGATAGTGTGATCATGACATAGCTCAGAGGGTGTTTTCTGGTAGCTCTGACTCAGCATTATTTTGTTTGGAATTTTTGTGAGTGACTTAAGAAAAGCTAATGGTAACATAAATGATCTTGAATGGGATAAATCTGAAACACAAGAGAAAGTGTGTGCTGTATAACAAACTTACTAACATTTAAAGTTTCAATCTTTTCTATTTGTCATTTATGTTTTTCATAGCATTCTTTCCCTTTTTTGCATCTTATATCTCTGTTTAGTTTTTCTGAGTTTTTTTGTGGTGTTTAAGTTTTTTGACTTTCTAATTATGACAATTTCACATCTTGATCTGATGGAGAATTCTGTGTCAGCATTATTGGGTTCTTTTTGATTTTCTCTTGTATTATTACATTGCTCTCTTGAGGGCTTTTTCCATCATTTGTTTTTTCCCTTCTTCCCATTGTTTGCTTTGGGCTTGCTCTGCTGTAGTGGCACTTTTTTTTGTGTATGAGTTTGTCTCTCCTACAGTTTTGTGTGTTTACTTGATGTTGAGTAAGGGCAATGGGTTCTTTTTTTTTTTTTGAAGATTATATTTATTTTTTTCTCAGAAGAACGGGGATGTAGGCTGGGGGGTTGAGGGGTGGTTGAGAGGATTCACCAGAGTCAGAGTGGGGCAGTTTGACTGAAATACACTGCTGAAGGGAGCAATGGGCGAGGCGGGAGAGGTTTGATGCCCCATGTGGGTCAGCTACCTGGCCAGGGGTTGAACTTGTGTTGCAGTGGCTGACTATAGCTTTATAGTGCTGAGACTTTACCTCTTCTGCAACCAGGGATGCCCTGCAGTGGGGTCTTGTAATATCTGGAGTGATGCTAAAGCATCCCTGAAGCACTCCTAGGCCTTGTCCTGGTGGCTGGTGAGCAGGGGAGATGTTCAGATGCTGAGTTGATGGGGACTCTCCCTGTCCAAGAGTAGTTGCTTGTTTCTGGTGGCCAGGAGGGCAGAGGTTTGCTAGATTCCTGATACAATTTAGAAGGAGGCCTTATGAGTGGGATGCACTTCCAGTGTGGTTTGGGGCTCTTAGTGAATACTTAGGTCCTGCAAATTCCAACTTGGGCCTCAGTCTACTCCTGAGAAACTGGTGGCCGCCTGGAGGCTGTGGTTGTCACCTGGGTGTTACTGTGGGTTGCCACTGTAAAGCCAAGCTCTGTGAGGGCCAGCTCTGCTGGGAGGTGCTACCAAGCTGAGTGGTACATGCTTCCTAGTGCAGCTGGGGACCCATAGTGAATAGCTAGGTCCTGTAAGGTTGAGGCTCAGGCCTCTTTCCACTCCTGTTGTGTTGGTGGCTGGGCCTGGAGGCAAAGTGCTCACCTTGGGGTTACTGAGGTCCCTGATGTAGAATAAAGCACTGTGAGACCAAGGAGGGGGTAGCACATTCTGGTGGGGCTGGGGGCTCTTGGTGAATAGCTAGGTACTGCAAGGTAAGGCCCGGGCCTTTGTCTGCTCTGAGGGTCTGGCATATGAGCCAGGAGGCAGGGATGCTCACCTGGGATTATTGGAAGACCCCTGATGTAGAGCCCAGGTTGGGGCCCTTGTCTTGCACCAGGGAGGCACCAGCAAGCTGAGTATTCCCATTTTTTAACAGCAGTCTATTTTTTTCTTATGTAAGTATGACTGTCCCATTCTTCCTTTGTTGTATCATTGCTTGTAAATGGTTTTCCAGGCATTTTCTTTGAGCCTATGCCTGTATTAGAGTTTAGTTTCATATCCTAGAGGCAGCAGAATATCAGAATTTGTTTCCTGATCCAACCAGATATTCATATCTTTTTATTGGTGAGTTAAGTAAATTTATGTTTAAAGTGATTATTGATACATGAACGTCTCTTGTTGCTCTTATGATTCATTATAATGCCCTGAAACAGACAGTTCTCTCTCTTCATGCCCCATCAAATAAGCATTCCTATCTTTTGCATCTAACAAGTTTGTCTTGACTTCTAAAGAAAAATGATAATCCTAAGAGAATAATAAGGAAGTTAAAAATCTAAGGAATTTATCAGTATTAACAAAGCAAGCTTGAACCCACCTGAAATCTCCATATGCCTGCATCAAAGGACTTGCTGCCCCTTGCCCTTTTGTTTTACTCCTTTGTATAAATAACCCAGCCCTCTGCCAAAGAGCAGGACGATGGTCTTTCAGATGTGAGTGTGCTGCCCTCCTCTCAGCTGGTTTATAAACTACTCTATTTCGCAGATTGTTTCCTTTTACTGGCTGAGGGAAATTGAGGCCAGCATTAGGTACCAATTAGTTTTATAATTTTTGCGTTCAGTCTGATTTTTAAAATTCTGTTCGTTGTGTGGGTTCCTCTTGTTTTGGATACATGACTTTCTTATTTCTTGGAGTAGTGGTTTAGTGATTGCAAACTTCTTGAGTTTCTGTCTGGAAAGTCCAGTATTTTCTGCTCATGTGTAAGGAATGCCTTGCTGACATTTTTTATCTTTAAGTATTTGGAACATATTATTTTATTATCTCCTTGACTGTAGTGTTTCTTCAGTGAAGAGTTCTACATGTTAGTCTATCGGCATGCCTTTTTAGGTTATTTTTTCTCCCTTGCCATCTGCAAAATTCTTTCTTTGTCCTGAATTCTTGAAAGTTTAACTACTTAATATCTTGGTATAGGTCTCACTTTGTTTAGGTAACTTGGAGTTCTTTTAGCTTTCTGGACGTGTACATTTATTCCTGTCTGTAGATCCTGGAAAATCTTTCCTCATTAACTCTTAAAATGTATTTCTTGCTTCATTTTATTTTTTTCCTTTCCTCTCTCTGCCATTTCCATTATTCTTATATTTTCTTTCCTGATAGATTCAGATTATTCTAAATGTTTTTAGATTTTTTTTAACTGTGTTTCTTTCTTTCCTGTTTGGATTCTCTGATTATTTGGGTCTTCAAGTATGCTGACTCATTCTTCCCACTACTTTCTCCTACTACTTTCTACAGAATTGTTTCCCAGACCCATCAGACCCATTTTCCTCCTTTTTGATGCTACAAGAGCCACATTCAATGGAAACTGGGTATAATTTTTGATTTTCTGGGTATCTTTGGGTTCCTACTACTGGTAGATGGAAATATGTGTGGTCGGTTTCCAACTCAAGTAGTTGGTTTCTGATTATGATGTCTGATAGTTGGACTTTCACTTTAGATGGTTCCAGCTTCTTTTTTCTACCCTGGTGTTCTTTTAATATTCTGCATTTGGACATTTGGGAAATGTACCTTTTTTTTTTTTTTTAAAGATTTTATTTAATTATGCACACTAGAACTGGGATGTAGGCCAGAGGTGCAGGGATGAGAGGATTCCCCAGAGACAGAATGGGGAGCAGAACAGGCAGATGTACTGAAATGCACTGCTGAGGGGAGCAGTGGGCAGGTTAGAAGAGGTCTGCCATGCCATGTGGTTCACCTCCCTGGCCGGGATCGAACTCATGCTGAAGTGGCTGTGGATAGTTTCACAGTACTGTGCTTCTACCCATTGTGCCACCAGAGAGGGCTCTCTCTATGTCTTTATATATGTTTTCTGTTCCCTTTTCTTCTTCTCTTTTCAGTCTGGTATGCTCATTTTTTAAAAAAGATTTATTTTATTTATTTATGCATACAAGGACTGAGGTGTAAGCCAGAGGTGCAGGGGGGTGAGAGAATTCACCAGAGATGGAGTGGGGAGCAGTGGACAGATCTACTGAAATATACTGCTGAGTGGAACGGCATGAGACAAGTCTGCTGTGTCATGTGGGTTAGCTTCCTGGCTAGTGATTGAACTTGAGCTGCAGTGACTGGTAGAGCTAAGACTTAACCCCTGTGTCACCAGAAAGGCCCTCATAGTAACTTTCTGAATGGAGTAGGATAATTGCAGGAGTGTTTATTCTGTTTTTATTATTTTTTACTTTAATTATTGCTTTCTTTTTCTACTTGAATTTTTATTCATTCCTATCTCAAGTACATGTCTTACTTTGGTCTGTTATAATAGCTTTCCTCTGAATTTCTCATCTCCACTGTTTTTTTCTTTTTTTTTTTTAATATCTTCGATCTGCATCATTATTTTTTAGAGATTCAGTTTTGATAATCTGTTCATTGACTTTATTTTTCACTATCTTCATTTATTTTTCTAAATTTCCTTCCCTTTCTTTGAAGTTTTTTATTAGGGCATTTTTTTCTGTTTTTATTAGAATAGATCTTCCATGTTTTTGTGATTAGGGTCTGGAGGCTTGTTTTGCATTGTGGTATTCTCCTGAGGATTTTTGTTGTGGTTTGTTGTGTGTGTGTGTGTTTTTTTTTGTTGTTGTTCCCCCATTTTTTTTTTCCTTTTTTGCTTTGGATTCTTTCTGCTTTGGGGGGAATTTCCTTTGGGCATGTATCCACCCCATATGTAGGACCAAGGGTGGTTTTGTCAGGGCTGTAAGCCTGACCACTCTTAGTTTGCAAGGCTAGTCACCCAAGAGTATATACCAGGTTTCTTTTGTTGTCTATCCTTAGGTCACTGTTGCCTGCCTTCGTGTTATCTATTCATGTGGTCTTTCCTCTTAAAATAATAAACTTTAATAGCCATTTTTTATTGACTGTAATACCTCAAATAGTTGACCAGAGCTTTTATGTTTTTTTAATTCTACTTTGTAGTTCTCTTTTTTCATGTGGTTTTTTTAGACTAGTACAAAGTGATGATTGATTGTCTTTATTGATATTCATTTGGGGATTTGTTGAAACTGAAAGTTACTTAAGAAGTTTGACGCATTTTCATTTTTTTCCTTCAGCTTGCCATGGTTTGTGATGTATTTGTGGAAAACTATGTACCTGGTAAACTGTCTGCAATGGGCCTGGGATATGAAGATATAGACATGATTGCTCCTCACATCATCTATTGTTCCATCACAGGTATTTGAATACCACATCTACCTCCATGAATCAAACTTCAGTTTCTGTGTTTATTTGTCCACATATTAACCCTTTGACAGTATTGGTTTTCTTGAAGTTATTCTACTCCCCCATTCCTCTAGTCATTTTAGGTTGCTGAAAATTAACTATAAAAGAAAATTAGCTTATGTAGACATTTTCAAATGTATTGACTGTTTATATCTCTTTTGTGAAATGTCTGCTTATTGGTGTAGCTAATATTTCTACTCATATTTTACAAACATTTACAAAGTAATTCTTAACATATGTAATTTTTAGGGGCACTGATAGTCAGCTTTTAGATTCCCTAGGAATTCAGCCTATCCCATCAATATATTCAAAAGCATATTAAGACGACTGAAGGGTACTACGGAGTCATCCCTGTTGTTCAGCCCTCGCTAGTGAATGTGTGTTTAGACCAAAGAAGAAAAAGTCACTCATTGTATTTGTTTTATATACTTTATAAGCTCCCACTATTATAAAAACAGTTGCTTTTAAACTGGGTTATTTTGCTTTTTTTTGGTCAGGAAAACTCATCACATCTTTAATTTTTGTTTATTTTTTCCACCAAATATTTACTGCAGACCTATGATCTATAGGATAGTATTCTAAGGCTCAGTGATATAATAATGAATGATGCTTTATTTCTTCTTTCAAGGAGATTTAAATTCTAGGGGTATAGGACATAAATGAATAAGCCCTTTTTGGGGTTATAATTGAATGTGATAAAGTCTAGGGAGAGAAATGAAATGGGTTGTGGTGGGTTAGAATAGTTTATACTGGGCGATTAGAGAAGCCTTTATTGGTAAGGTGACCTTTGAGTAGTAACCTGAATGAATAAAGGAGGAGTGAATCATATACATTTTGACAAAGGGTTTCAGGTAGGGGCAACAGCAAGTGTAAAAGTTGGGTGTGTTCGAAGACATACAAGTATGACTGAAGCAGACTGACTGAGGGGAACTCTGAGAGGAAGAAAATCAGGGAGGTAATTCTTAGTAAAATCTTATGAAGGACCTGTGAACTATTCTTAAGAAATTTAACTTTTACATGGAGTAAGATTATAAGCCAAAGGAGAGTTTTGAATAGAATGATATGATTTCCTACTTTTAAAAGAATTACTGTAGCTATTTTGTTGATCATAGAATGTAGAGTACATTGATAGAAGTAGAAGAATAACAACGAAGCTATCAAAATATTACGGGCTAGAGATAAGGGCTTGACTTAGGGCAATAGTGATAGAGGAAACTGAAGAATTATAGGCTGAGATTGTTTTCAAGACAAAGCAGATAGGAATTACAAATAGGTTACAGGATAGGTTAAAGGGTGACTTTATAAAGTCTGGTCTGAACAATTAGGACAATGGAATTGTTATTTACTAAGTTGAAGAAGAATGTGTATAGAAGTTTTGATAGGGAAAATATCAAGAGCTAGGTTTTGGAAATGTCTAGCTTGAGATACCTATTATCTAGTAGGTACCCAAGTGATGTAATTTAAGGGACTAGATCTAAGAGTTAGAAGTTTTGGGAATGTCTAACTTGAGATACATATTATCTAATAGTGATAATCATATATCCAAGTGGATATCATATATCCAAGTGATGTAGTATAACGGACTAGATATAAGAGTTAAAAGTTTAGTAGAAGTATCATAAATTTGATGTTTATGAGCAAATAGATGACACTTGAAGCCTGGTTGAGATCATTTAGAGAGAGAATGAAGATAGAAAAAGGAACATCTGAGGTGCTGAAACTGATGCCCTTCAATTGCTAGTTGTTTGGAAAATGAGAAAGACACAGTGAAGGAAATTGATATTTATGAGCAAATAGATGACACCTGAAGCCTGGTTGAGATCATTTAAAGAGACTGAAGATAAAAAAAGGAACACCTGAGGTGCTGAGATTGATGCCCTTCAATCACTAGCTGTTTGGAAAATGAAAAAGGCACAGTGAAGGAAATTGAGAAGAAATCATCGTTAAGGCAGTATTTACAGAAACAGTAAGTTTAAAAAGATAGAGTTTAATCATAAAGTTGTAAACCACACAATATATATGGATCTGAATTACTTGCTTTTCCTAATTCACCATGTTTCTTCTCATATTTATGTTTCCATTGCTCGAAACACTATTTTTCTATTATTACTTATTATTTTCTGTCCTTTAAATTACATCTCATATGCCATTGTTTCTGTAGTCTGTCTTGACCCCTGAAAATTGAGTTGGATGTTCTTTATCACATTTTATATTTCTTCTTAGTTGCTTTTCTTCTCCATTCTCCCACAGACTCTTGTTTTATTCCCAGTTTGACAAAGCTAATATTAGGGACTCAGCTGGAGTTTGTTGAATCAATGAACTTGACTACCGAGTTTTTTTTAAAAAAGATTTATTTATTTATGCATATAAAGCTGGGATACAGGTCAGAGGTGTAGGGGTGGTGAGAGGATTCACCAGAGACAGAGTGGGGAGCAGAACAGGCCGGCTGATGAAGTACACTGCTGAGAGGAGCAGCAGGAGGGTCAGGAGAGGTCTGCCATATCATGTGGAATCACCTCTGGTGCACGCTGGGGATCGAACTCATGTGGAAGTGGCTTTAGCTTCTCCATGCTGTGCTTTAACCCGCTGCACCATCAGGGAGGGCACTGACTACCGAATTTTTAGTAGGTGCCAAGTGAACTTGCAAGCTCACACTTCCCAAAGTTACACATTTGTAAACTAATTATGGTCAGGCCAACAGTTCTTTTGGTTTATGGATTGTGATTTGACATTCTCTATATTTTCTCAGATCTTGTATTAATATTTTAGTTCAAAAGGCCTTGGGACCAACTTTATAATTTAGTTGTTCTCAGCTAAGGGGAAGAATATCATATACTTTTCTATGATTGGGATGGGGAAATGAAGTGATGGGGAGAGGTATGTGTAGTCTCGAAACACACCTTTCATAATTCTAAAATTTCCTATATCTACACCTTCTGACAATCATTAGAAAAAAAATCTGGAAGTTTATTCTTTTTTTATTTCCTGAATATATGTTGATGTTTGTTATGGATTCCTGATGTATTTCTCCTTAATCATAATACAGTGACTGTGTCTCTTTACTTTTTTAGTTGGAAGTCTGTTTTATCTGATCTGAGGATAGCTGTTCCTGCCTTCATTTTTGGTCCATTTTCCTTTAGGATTGTTTTCCCTGGGATCTGTATTTGTCATTTGTTAATCTTTTTGTGATTCTGTTCCTTACCTTGTTATTTTCTTCCTATTCATTCCTCTTTTGGTTTTACTTCTAGGGTATCTTGGAGTAATTTTTATAGTGGGGGGTTTAGTAATGATGAATTTCGGGGATTTTGTTTGTCATGGAAAATTTTTATTTTTCTATCATAGAGGAAGAAGAGCTTTTGGAGGTTAGAGTCTTCATAGTTGGAATTTGTTGAGTTGAAGTTGTTGAATATGTCTCTCCATTCTCTTCTTGACTATAGTGTTACTTCGGAGAAGTCCAATGTCAGCCTGATTGGTTTTCCTTTGTATGTTATCTGTTTCTTCTCCCTTGTCGGCTTCATTATTTTTTTCTTGTCTTGGACCTTTGAAAATTTTACTATTGTCTTGCTGTAGCTTTCTTTTCATTGTGGTAGTTTGTGTGGCTTCCTGTATTTCTGTCATCCCCCCCCCCTGCTTCTTCTTCATACTTGGGAAATTCTCTTCAATTATCTCCTTGAACAGTGTTTCAGCTCCCTATTCTCTCTTTTCACCCTCTGGGACACTGATGATTCTTATATATTTTTTCCATATTGCATCTGAAATTTCTTGGAGCGCATTTTCAGTCTTCTTTCTTTGTACTTCTCTGTTCTATTTTTGTTTCTTTGTATTTCTGAATCTTCACGAATGCTGATTTGTTCTTCCATTTCTTCTACTTTTCCAGAGTTCTTGAGCTCCTCCACCTCTCTTTGATTATCTTCCAATTCCTTCACTTTTCTTCCTCAGTTCATTCATTGTGTTTTTATCTCTTTCTTTGTTTCCGTCATGGTGGATGCATTTTTCTGTATCCAAATTATCAATATCTGGATATTGATTTTCTTTCTGTGGTATATTGTTTCTGGAAGAGCCTGCTTGATCACTTTGTATTTTTCTTCTTTCTTTTTTTAGCCTTCGACATTGCTCTATTCTTGGTTCTACTGTGCTGCTGGTGCTGGTAGGCATGACTTCTGATTACTCTTGCTGTGTTATGAATATGTCTGCCTGGTGTCCCAGCCTCTGTGGCTGGGTACATGTCCAGACATTTCAGTTCTGCAAGATGTTCTGCACTGTACTTTGTCCTAGCATCCCCTGCTTTTCCAGCCCCCACTGTGTGAAGTGGGGTCTGGAATGTCAGCCAGTGGTAGCTACAGGTCTCATTTGGGGTCTTACTTCTCCAGAAACACTTTAAGTCCTAGTCTCTGGGAGGTGCCTGCAAGAGATGCCTGGATGGGCTGATTTTCTCTGTTGAACTTCTAGGTCCTTCTAGGTGTGTTGCAGCAAAATAATGGAGTTAAAAGAGAATAGGGAGTGAAAGAAGGGGTTAGGGGAAAGGGGAGTAAGATACCTATATGTTAAGGGAAGGAAAGTGATAGGAAGAAGTGAAGGTTTTATGGTGTAGAGGGAGAGGAGGAGGAAATGGAAGGGAGTGGCAGAAAAAAGAGAAAGCAGTGATAATATTGTTGAAGGTAAAGAAGGAGAAAACTAGAGGAGACAGAAAACCAGGGTAACAAGAAAGGAAGGGCACAGAAATCTACCAGATGACCAATAAAGGAACAACAACAACAACAAACAACAAGCAAACAAGCAACAAGCACATCTATAGTACAGGAGAATTGCTTCTTAGATGTCTCCCAGTTAGCTAGTCCTTGTGGTTTTAGGCTGCTCCCCTGGGGAATGGTTAAGAATAGTATTCCCAGAGTCCACAGATTCCTTTTTTTGGATATATTGAGGGAGGATATAGAATGCACTGTGAGAGGCAA